ACTTGTAGAGGAGAATGGCTGGGACCTGGAAGAACTGGGTGTTCTCTCCTGCTCGCCTCCCCTGAGAGTTCCCCACTGCTGTCATTTCCTTCATTTGGCCCACAGACCCACTGAGTTTCTATAGTCTCACCCCAGATTCTTCATTACCCCAGGCATGGCTTCATCGTGAGATCTTAGGATCTGTAAGGTTGAATAGGACATCCCTCTCAAGGGTATATGCATCTGGACGGTTTTAATTTTAAGCAAAAACAAACAAACATTAAGCCAAAGCTTTGTTGCTCTGAATGATCCTTACACATAAGGCAGCAAGCAGAGGGTTTGGCTGGGGAGGAAGAGGGAGTAAGAGACTTCTCAGAACCTACGAAGTACCAAATTCCCACCTTTTAGCCTGCAGGGTTTTGGGTAGTAGCAGTCATTGGGACCTCATGAATTCTCAGCCTCCAGATCTCCCTCCGGTCATGGGGAGTTGTCTTGGTAGCACCTAGAACCATTCTCTTGCCCTGAGCATCCTGCAGTGGTCATGGCAACACTGTCCAGCCTGTGCCCCAACAAAACTCACATATCTGCCCATAGATGTACTGGACTAGTTGAACTCAAAAGTCCTAGCAGGGAGCGGTATATTTATTTTTTGCTTTTTTTTCAGTTTTTGGTCAGGGCTGGGTTTGAACCCGCCACCTCTGGCATATGGGGCTGGCGCCTTACTCCTTTGAGCCACGGCACTGCCCAGGGAGTGGTATATTTGGAGTATCTAGCTAGGAAAATGCCAACGTGGATGTGGGAACAGATAATGGGGTAACAGGGGTGTGGCCAAGTCCAAGAGGATATGGTGGGAGTGAGCATCGGAGCTGTGTGTGTGAGCCACACCAAGAGCTCATTTCCTTTTACTCCTGTGCCTGTCACCTCCAGGTCTTTAGTAGACTCATCTCATCAGACTATCAGAGACCCCGCACAGACCTGAGAGAGCCCGAGAGGTCTGCAGCTTGAGTGAGAAACTGCTGGTTCCCAGTTCCACCTCCCAGGCCGGCCTCTGGGCTCCCTGTCTGTGCTGAGCAGGTTTCTGAGCTTGCATGGGGGGTATTTCCAGTCAAGGGAGTGAGCCCCACACTTCTGTGAACAATTTTGTTAGGAACAAAATCAGGGGTTGATATGGGAGAGACCCTAATTTCACTCCACTCAGAGCCACTGGTCCTCTTCTCCTACTTTTGGGGACTTCCCATGTGTCAGGGCTTCCCAAGTATGTTCCTGGGAACAGTGTTCCCAAGAGTGATGCTCTGGCGAAAGACTTACATGGTGCAGAAGTTTGGGAAACACTCTGTGTGTGTGTGTGTGTGTGTGTGTGTGTGTGTGTGTGTGTGGTGTGTACAATGATATTAAGGGCTCCAAGAAGCCCTACTGGGGAGCAGTCTGCTTAACTCACCTGGGTTTTCCGTTGTGAACTTGATGGCAGGTTCCCATAGCACCGGTGTTTCGTGGCCTGCACATCGGGAACGCTGCCCTAACTGCCCTCACCTTCTGTCGTCATTCACAGAGACTTACAGGCATGTCCTCAGCTCCCTTTCTGGACTCATCCCCTTGGCATGTTTTCAGGAAAGCCTGTGGGTTTCTCAGCCACTGCTTCCTGCCACCTTCCCATCTTTATCTTACTAGATGGGTCTGGGGATTCTGGCATCTGCCCCAGGCCCAGCACCCCTGAGGCTGTTTACGGACCCTGGGTCTCGGGGTGATTTCTAGTTGCTCTGCTTTCTTCAGGGTTCGGGGTTAGAGGCTGTGGTGGGAGGGGAGGAGTAGGCTCCCTGTGAATAGTGAGCACTGGTGGCCCTGGGCGGGCCTGATGTGCAAGCTGGTGGGCGTCTGTGCTGTGTGCCTGCTGGCTTGTGTCACTGCAGGGCCTAGCTTGGCACCCAGAGAGGCTGGAGGAGGAGGAGTCAGGGGTGCTGAGGGGCTGTCTGTGCAGTGAGGCTGTCAAGCACAGGTGTGGCGGTGGGCTGGCTCTGAGGGCCTCAGGCCTGTCTGTTTTCAGATCTGGTGGCTGAGCCACACAGGGAAGCAGAGGCCAGCGGAGCTGTCCCTGGGGCCTGGGTGTGTGTAAGTGTTGGAGGTATGTGGCAAGGAACGCCATCCATCCAGCTGCTGGAGTATAAGTGTGACCCAGGGGTGCATGGTGACGGGGAGGAGATGGCACTGCCAGACGCACCCTTGCAGCTTCCTGGACACAGCAGCTGATGGCAGTTCACATCCCTTTGCAAACCCTGCCTCTGCCTGCAGAGTGCGCCATGCCCTGCCCTCCTTAGACATCCTGGGCATCATCATAGCTGAGGAGGTGTCAGGGGTTTAGTCCTGACCTGCTCCTTGGGGAGGGCTCCAGGCCTGTGTCAGACACAGCCATCCTGGTGAGTAGGGAGACAAAAAATGTCCCTTCCTATCCCTTCCCCCTACTTTGCAAGATCTTCTACTCTTCTTTCCTGCCCGATTCCAGAATCTTCCAGAGCACAGGTCGCTCAGCAAGACCAGCTACAGCAGCCTTTTGTTGTCATGACAGTGGTGACAGAGTGAAATCCCAGATGCCAACTCTGGGCCTGGTGATTCCCCTCTCTCTGTTTTCTAACAGCTCCCACCCCCCACCCCCATCTCCCTGTGAGCTTGGGGCAAGACCTCCGTGGGAGTCAGGGTGCTGGCACCTGAGTTAAAGCCCCGGTTTTCAGAGAGCACAGGGAGCCCCTTACCTATTTTCAGAAGAATGTAACAGAAAAATGCCTGAATTCATTCATTTGTAGTGTGGTTCCTAGAGGCCTGGGCTTTACCATCCTGGATTTAGGCTCATGGAGCGTCTCTCTGCTTCCTATAGATACAGAAGCTTGGGTATAATAAGGAGAGACAAAGCAAGCTTCTCCTGGGCCCATGAAGTATTTTTCTGACTTGGAGGTTGAAACAGAAGGAAGCTCACAGAGAGAGAATGGTTTCTTTTCCGAGGGCTCTTCTTTTACTCAATTGAGCTGAATTCTAGAGGAGGGGTCTCCAGATGTGAGTCCCTAGACAGCAACAGGCGGCTGCAGCTGGGTTTTTGTTTACACATTGTTACCCAAGCCAGTGATTTGAAGCCTGGGGAGAATGGGGACTCCTGCCATGGCATTATTGGGTTTCTTTCTCTCTTCTTCCCCCTTCCATTTTCACTCCTGGGTTAATTCCTGGATTTGTCATTAAATTTGCTCTGTGTCTGGAGTGTCTGCCATACGCCTAACTATATTATTTGCTGGCTACATACTTCCTTTCCTTGGGAAGGATGCCTTGTGTTCAGACACCCGTCATTTATGGTTGTGGTTTCTTGTGCTGAGGGCCATCCGCTGTCCTGCCTGCCTGTGTGCTAACATGAATCACACAAACTGCACAGACACAGTGTGGGTTGCTAAAGGTTGTGTATTTATGGGCGTGGCCATATTAGAAACGGCCTGCCTGTGTCTTTGGTGAATTTGTTCCTTAACTCCACCTTTTCCACGCCATTCGAGTATATGATCCTGGCCACCATCATTGCCAACTGCATCGTGTTGGCCCTGGAGCAGCATCTTCCTGAGGACGACAAGACCCCGATGTCCCGGAGGCTGGTATGTGCTCCCTCTTTCTCACCTTCCTGCCTTCTGCATCTTCGGGGTTTCCTTATCACACTCCTCTCTCTCCTCCTCTCTGTGAGTTCTGTAAGGAGTTTGCTCTTAACCAAGGGACGGTTTACTGACAAACCCCATTGGGATTTGAAAGGAACAGAGGGCACTGAAAACGCTCCTGTACACTGCATGGGAGCCAGGCAGGAAGAACGGGCAGGCAGGGCCGGCTTGCTCTGCACCGCTTTCCTAAGGGGCTTCTGCAGTGGGAGGATGAAGGATGCTCTGAGCTTGTGTGTATTTGTGGTTATGAACTTCCTAAATGCTTACGTCTGTATTCTCCTTAAAGAAATGAGTCACAGGTCTCAGGTACTCCCCCTACAGACAGCAAACAGATTGCTGAAAATCCAAAGTGCAGGTGGGTGGCTCCAGCCCGATGACCTTCCACCTGTGTGGAGACTCCTTCAGGGCAGAGCCTAGACCAACAGGGACCTTCCTGGGGACGAAGTCTAACCTCTGGGTGTGACCCCCAGATCTGTTACAGCTGTCCCCCATGCGCTCCCTGGCTCTGTTGCATTCTGCAAGTCCCAGCCTGCAGCCCTGGGTCCCCTTCAGCACCCTGACTTCCCACCTGCATGTGCGCAGGCCCAGCACAGACTTCCAGGAGGTGGCCAGGTGGGCCTCTGTCTGATAAAGCACAGGCCTCCCCTCACTGGTGCCTCTGCTCCTTATTCCCGCAGGAGAAGACAGAACCCTATTTCATTGGGATCTTTTGCTTTGAAGCTGGGATCAAAATCGTGGCCCTGGGGTTCATCTTTCATAAGGGCTCGTACCTCCGCAACGGCTGGAATGTTATGGACTTCATCGTGGTCCTCAGTGGGTGAGTCCTCTTCCTCTCCCTCCTTTGCATGTGGGCCTTCGTGTCATAACGTGGCTGGGCAGGGAACCCAGGGTGGAGAGACAGTGTCTGTGGGTAGGAGCAGAGGAGTTCAGGATGGAGATTTCCCCCAGGGCTGAGTCCTAGGGAAGCCCCTTAGAGGAGATGTGTGTGGCATTAGGCGGAGGCCCTGGGACTCTCCGGTTCTGCAGCTTCTGGGTTTTCATTCTGTGCTTGGCTCGGATGCTAAATACCACTTCCCTGGGTGGGGTGACATTTCCCTGTGAGCCTTTTTGCTAAAGCAAGTAGCTTTCCCTAGGCTGAGTGGCACCCCCAAGAGATGGGCCAAAAGATGCTGTCCAAAGCTGTTTCTTTGGGGGGCCAGAGAAGACCCTAGATGTATTTTCCAAACTGATAATTGACACTCATGCCCTAACACAGAACTTTTTATGATTTGCAGATTTATTAATAGTGTAACATGGAACCATATTAAAACATTTCATAAATCACTCCTTGGAAATTAATATAGTAATACTGCATTAGGGCTGACTTGGTGTCACGGCAGCATATATGATGGCAGTGCATTTTAGTTTAATATTAGATTAATCATTCTTTTGGAAATAAATATAGTACAAGGACATTGGGCTGACCCAGTGACATTGGCAGCAAATGTGATGGGCCCGGGGAATGTGGTGATGGGCATGTCTGCCCTGGGATTTTGTGACTTCTGGTTGGTCTTAGTGTCAGATGGCTCTTGGTGCTTACTGGAGCAGTGAGCCGGCCTGTGTAGAAGTGACAGTAAGTGGTATAGTCTGGAAATTGCCTTATCAGGTGCCTTGCAGATAGTACTTCACAGCTTTGAGGAAAAGAAGAGAGTGCCCGAGAATGGAGAGGATGGGGGAAATGTGTAGCCACTTTGATGATTGGCCAAGAGGAGAGGGGAGGAAAGAGGAACTTACCCAGTCAGGGTAACTTACCCAGACAGGGACCAGTCAGAGGAGGGGGTTGGGGGAGGTTGAAAGGGTAAGGCTAGGGAAGGATCACCTCTGCTTTACTATCTTGTGGAATAGACACAATGCTCATATTTTTAACCTTTATGCTAATTGGGATGGAGTGGAAGAGAAAATGCTGAAAATGGAACAGACTGGAGTATAGGGATGGAAGGGAACAGATAAGGAGGGTTGGCTGCACGTTTAAAAATATCTGTTGCCTCACGAAATGATTTTCTGGAGGTTATTTTTCTAAAAGAAAAGTCTACTACTGCATTTTAAATGTGATTTATATATGAAAATACACTTGGTACATGGTACTACAGAAGTACCACGTACAGAAGTACACTGGGTGATATTTTAAGTGTCCTTAAAAGAAAATAATATATACCGCATTAGAAAAGGCCTAAATGAGAATCTGAGCTTTCTAGAAATGTTGTGATTCTATCAGAAGAAAAGTATTGTAATGCATGTGTATTGTTCGTTATGTTTATATAAATTCTTGGTCTTGCTCAGTTCTATCTGTGTCAGAGGCCATTTGAAATTTCTTGTCCTGTCCATTTAGTTTTATCTTAAACTATAATATTTCATTATAGAAATGTCAAGAGAAGAAAAAAAAAAAACGTTCACTGATTAGGCAAAGCTCCTGATCATTTTGTGATATTTCCTCTCAGCCCGCAGCAAGCTCTCTTTTAAATGCTCGTAGTTTCACTGCCTTTGCCCAATATTGTATGAGCATATTACATGTTATTGTGTATTTTGGTAAACTCTGTAACAATGGACCGGCAGTTTATTAAATAGATGTGCACAGCTTGCTTCTTCTTTTGCGGTTATTTGATACTTGGATTGCTTTCTGGTTTTTGCTGTGATAAATTTTATCAAAGATGCTCCAGCGTATATCTTTGGGATGCCACATTTTCTCAGGCATTTGGCAGGTCGAAGTACTTCTAAAGGAGAGTCCAGCCATTCTGGTGTGGGGTTCTGGGCACTGTGCTGGGTAAGAGGAGGTGGAGGAACTGGACCATTTGACTAGATGGAAGACTTATCAGAGACAAGTTATCTTTGTGTTCAAATGAGGTTCATTATGTGGTTAAAGGAGCGGATTTGTAGGAGGCAGCAGGGCCCTTTCATCAACACAGCCTAGAAGGTCTGCCCTGTGTGTCCAGGGGGCGCACGGGAGTGGGTGCAGGCTCTGAGCTTGGCCTTCCCACTTGCCCCCCTCTGCCCTCTCCACACAGCCCTCCTTTTCTTAGCAGCTCTTCATTGGCTCTGTGTATTGGCCCTTCCTCCAGACTGCTGCTTAACCCTCTTCCCAGGGTGGACTGTTCTCTTTCTCTCTCCTTAATTTGCACTGGAATGTGCTCCAGGAAAGGGCTTGGTGCTCACTCTTGGAGACCCTGGCTGACGGGCCAAGGGGCTCAGGGTTGCAGTTCATCCTGCAGGAATGGATGATCATACTGAGTTTTACATTCCACCGTGCTTTCCTCCGCCACACTGTGCCACCTCTAAGAGGCATATTTTTCATGCTGGAACAACTTAGAAATTAACCTGTGCCTTACAATAGTGGTATGATGTTGTTTAATTAATTAATTTATTTATTATATTTATGTATGTATTTATTTTTTGGCTGGGGCTGGGTTTGAACCCACCACCTCTGGCATATAGGGCTGGCGCCCTACCCTTTTGAGCCACAGGTGCCGCCCATGATGTTGTTTAATTTATAACTCCTTTCCTTCCTTGCTCCTTCCTTCCTTCCTTCCACATAAAATTCAGGGGCATCTTACAATTGCTGGGGCCTTAGATTCCATGAAGTATGTTGTGATTCCAGCCTAGTGGGGCAGGTGCAGCAGGCTTAGAGATAGGTCATCTAGGCCTCAGGGAGGGTAGAGGACAGAAGGCAAAAGTCATTTGTCCAAGATCAGCTATTTCTTGATGGCAGATCCAGGGCTGATGTTTCTAGCCCTGACCTGTGCAGCCCATCTGCAGGCCACCCAGCATTCCCCTTTGCCTTCCTGGCACCTGCACCCACAGCAGTGTCTGCTGACAGCTCTTCCTTCCCACCTCATCTCCAGGTGTCACCTCCCATTTTCCTCTTGTGCACAGGAGGAATGACAGGTGCTGGAGCACGACAGCGCCTCGGGGCTGAGGCTGCACAGCTCTGCAGTCTCGGTGCTGGGAGGGGAGAGTGGGGAGGTGAGTGCGGAGGTGTCAGAAAACTGGCTCGGTGTAAAACTGCTCTCATTGACCTTGCCTGAGAGACAGGCAGCTGGGGGTCCTGGGTCACCACACTCTACTTGCCACCTCTGACCTTTTAACCCAGGCATCTTCAAATTACAGCCCACGGGCCACATGTGGCCCACTGAGGACATTTATCTGGCCTGCCAGGTGTTTTTTGCTGCAGTTGCCTGTCCTGCTTAGCAGCCAACTTGTTCCGGGGCCTGCAGTCTGGTTCTCCAACGGTCTGACGGACAGTAAACTGGCCTCCTGTTAAAAAGTTTGAGGACCCCTATTCTAACCATTGGTGTGGTTAGGCGGCAGGTTGAAGGCATTCATGGTTTAGGAAGTGCATTTGTATGTTACTTTCTCTAGTCCTCACAATCCCATAGAAGGATCTTGCTCTCCTCATTTCACAGATGAAGAGACTGAGGGTCAGAGAGGGCACATGACTTGCTAGTGGGCACTGGATCCAGGACTTGATCTCACTTCTGGCTCTAAGTACCTTCTTCGACACTCTTTTCCCCACACCATCTGTCCCTCACAACCACAAGGACTCTGGATCTAATGCTCTGTGATTGCTGTTCCTTTGGTCCCCTTGAAGTAATGTGGGATCCACTCAGGGAGAGGCCTAGTCAGGCAGATGTGCCCTGCCCAAGATGAGGCTCACATGTGTGCTGAAGAGGACAGGAGCTGCAGGTGCCCACACCAACCCTTCCCTCTGTGGGCTTGGAATCACACTCCCTGCTCTGTGGTCAAGAGGCACGCTGCTTAACTGGTGGCATAGCATGGTTTGATACACAGAAACTAGATCAGAGGTTCCAGCTGATTTCTTCATCAGTTGGTTTGTTTGTTCAATCATTCACCCATTCAGTAATTCAGCAAAACTAGTATGTTGAATGCAGAAGGAAATGCTATTAATATGTTCTCATTTCTGCTAAAAGACAGTGGAATTTGCCATTCCTTTAACAAACTTTTATCTTACAGAACCTGGGCTTGCTCTTGCATTGGGAACAACTCAGGAGATGCTATTTGTCAGGCCATCTGGGGAATTCCTAGTTATTTGGAGTCTCTATTATGTATTAATCTTGATAATAAGTTATAGTACCTGGAATAGAAGGGCAAATGAGAGGGGAGGTTGAAAACTCAAGGACACTCCTAAACCATGGGTAACAATGGAGAGATGGGGGAGAGGACTGTGCCTTAGATCTCTGTTCATCTTCATAGGCCCAGAGCCTGGCGGATAGTCAGTACTCGATCAGCACTCACTGAACTGAATCGTTTGTCTATAGGATGCGAAAGTGAGTGCTGAGGGCAGCCTGGGGCTGAGGTGGAGGCTCTCCTAGGTCTGGCAGAGCCAGATAGTATCTCTGTCTCTTTTCTATATCTGTATCTTCCCAGCCTGCTCGCATTCTGGTCATTTTGTTAGGGAGATGAAAGCTGGGAGCTCAGTCCCCAGGCCATGAAAAGGTTCTGAGATTCCAGTCATCTGGCCTGTGTGCTTGATTGTCAGTGTTACCTCGTGGGGACTGCTTCCTGGGTGATTGGCAGGGGCAGGGCTGAATATTGAATACTTAACCTCCAAGAGTGATGTGGACAGGGTGGGAATAGCGTCAGGAGACAGCAGCTGTATCACACCACCAGGCATTTATTTGCCATTTGTTGAACCAGATGCCAAAGTCCCCTATAAATAAATATACTTTCCTAATCCTAAAAATGGTATCCCAAGGTAAGAATTATTAGGCCTGGTTATTGTCCAGGCCCATTGGCATATGGTAAAGCCAGGACTCGAAAAAGGCC